GAGCGTGGCTTGACCAGCTCCAAGCACTAACGTAAATCCATCCTATGTAGAAACAGCAGTTGGATTTACCCCGGTCATTGCTCCATTACTTGCCATGATCCTCACCACCTGCATGAGTTTTCTTCCACAACCTCCTGCCTGTTGCTAAGCAGACTTGTGCAGAAGCGGTGTTCTTGGCGAAGATGCACTGTGCGCGTGTGCGCAAGCTGGCCGTTTTGCCGGCTCAGCAAAATTTCTCCCTGAACGTCAGCCCTTCGCAATGCTTCCCAGCACAGACAAAGCTTTAGGTCACTTTGTCAGTGTCAGCCCCGTCTCCGAGACTGCCCTTTTGAGAGTAGACAAAACCAACACGCATGAAAGTACCCCCAGCACGGAAGCCCAGTGCCATGCGAGGCGGCAGGGAACAGCGGCTGCAGTTCCGACACGTGCTGCCTTTCCCACCATTCGTGGTAGATGCAGAACGCCCAGGGACAGGCTGTCATCCCACTGCACGTGAGGCAAATGTGGTTTTTCATTTTCCTGACGTGCTGGTTACCAGAAGCTTTGTTCATTTAAAAAAAAAAGAGAAGAAAAGAAAAGCAGATCTCTGATACCTCCTAGCATCTGGAGGCTGACTTGAAATGAAAAGTAGTGAGAATTAAATAAAATAACTCTAGGCCTTAAGATATCTAGCCTGTGTTAAAGATAGCTGATTTTCTTAGTACTCCAGTACTATGATCAGACTCCCCCCTCCAGATAAAAGCAACAGAGCTTCATAGGAAAAGACAACTCACCTTTCTTGAACTGCTAGTGCTTTTAGCATTAGGTAGAGGAGACAATTTTCTGGTTTAGATGAAAGCCAGAGAGCTGAACAAAGGTTTCTTACCGTTAAGGACAATGCCATGCAAACAAAAGTGAACTTCTTGATATGTGTCGCTGTGACGGTGCTGTTGGTGTTCACCAATTTATTGCTGGGGTTATTCTAGGGTGAGAGAAAGAGATAACGAGCATTAGCTTGGCTCCAGACTACTGGCAGGCTGACGGCACCAGGGTCATGTGTTAGACCTGACTGACTGTGCCTGTGCATGTCTGCCTTTGCTTGTTTGCTTTTTAACCTAGAGCTTTCTGAGTACTTTGTACCACCACACGATATTTTCCGCTTAAACTGACAGCAACTGCTCCTATCGTCACTGAGGGCCGAGTAATTTCCCTACTTTTCTAAGCAGTAAGTCCTATTTAATGAATTCAGCTTTGAAAAAGGGTGGTAGCTCTTTCTAAGGAAACTCTACGTGATTTTTTTTTTTACCTTAAAGTTTGCAGCTCGTTTTCACAGGAAAAATACGATTCCATTCCTTTTTACCACAGAGTGGTAACAAATTCATTTGCCAATGCAAGGACCCTTACTGATTCAATTAGGCAAGTAGGTAATATAAACAGAGCTCCTGGAACAGCTGGCTCCGTTAATGCAGTTTAACGAACAGAACATAATTAGGACTATTAGATGTTCCACCTTGAACATGGGCTCCGTCCTCACATGGTAGCGAGGTTTTATTTAAAACAACAATAAAAGCCCTCTTTCAAATGTCTAATATAGCAAATGAAGCTGAAGATTTAAAATTGTCCTCGGGGAACACATAAAACCAAACTAAATGGTCTGTGAAAAGAGAGGATGGGATATCAAAAGCAGGGCACCGTTAGGAGCCCTGTAGCAACAGGCCATTGGGTCATCTATTGCATTCACCCTGGGGCTGTCTGACATACACGGGTATGTGGCCACACTGATAACGCCTGTACCACGAGATGTAGTACCACATTTACTCATCCTTGATGTAACTCAGGTAGATCAGCAGCACCTGGCATGCGGTCAGCCTCCTTTACTGAAGTTACTCATAAGAGAAATAGGAACTCATGCAAATACATCTTGGGAGTGGACAAACCCAACATAAGCTCTGTGAAGTGTACACCATTTCACACACATTCGAGTAGTTGATGGAATTTTGCAATTTAAAGCTTTTTGTGGTGATCAGTGCAGTGATAGCACCTGGACAGCCCCACGCTCCTGTCCAAGTATCTGCTTGGAAGTTCGGGTGCACGAAGGTGCAGGTAGGCAACCTAGACCTGAAAGCTGGAAGCTACTCCCATGCCTGCCCTTTTTGGGAACAGGTTATGAAAACTCCCAGTAAACATTTTTTTCATGCGTCTATTCTTATTTCCTGTGTTTCTGAAGAAATACTTTGTTACTCACAGTGTTTAACTCTGCTGCATGGCTAAACTTTCTAACAAACAAGGCTAAAACGTCAGAGCAGAAGGAAAGTACACCCAAATCCAGCCATCCAAAAGGGCTGTGAAGAAAAAGGGCCCTCGTTCATTCCTGCCTTGCTGCTGCTGACTCTGCCCTTGCTCTGACTCTTGGTCATGTACTCTTTATTCTATCTCTTGCAAACTGTTTAGTTCTTGGATCAAAACACTATGCAGACTATGGAGCAAAAAGAGTATCCATTCCTGTGTACTAATCAGACAAACAGTGTTCACAAGTCCTCTCACAGTCGGTGCTGTTGCTCTGAACCAGATGGCACAGTCCATTAAGAATAATGGCATTATCACCGTATAAAACAGCAAACCGAGCACAGAACTAGGATATGCCTGCTCTCCTCCAGCAAAGCAGTAGTAAGCCTTAACCTGAGTCTAACTGCTAGGCCATGAGGTTGCTCTGGACAAGGAGTTGCATAAAAGACTGAAGTAGGACTCTGCATCCCTCTTGCAAATGTGAACAGAGGTAACTTATTTCCTTGTGAAGACAAGAATCTGACTTCTCCAGTAGAGCCACTGAAGAGGGGCATACTTTCTGGATCCCAAATCCCATCAGCCTGTTAAGGCACCAGAGCATGCTTCTGATGGCCATCAGCATCACCAGCTTTCTGAGTAACTGACAAAAGAAAATGCAGTTTGCATGCATGGAAACTGTTTCAGCACCTGAAAATCACAATGGAGGCTTTGTAGAGCCTGGAAATAAAAAGTGGTTTTGTCTGGACTCTTCTGAAAGCTTCAGCTCAAGGAAACAAAGCTTTTGAAAGGCATGGTGACACGCGAATGATGTGTGACCAAGGGTAAAGCAATTCTCACTGTGATTCAAAAAAAACCCACTGTGGGTTTCCGGTCTGGTATTTATTGTCTGAAGGAAACGGTGGAGGCATTTGCACACACGGTTGCCAGGATGAGATACACTTCATACTGCTGCTACATCACTTAGCATATTTTATGCCAAACTGCTCTTAAAACACGCAACTAAAATCCCTATTATATACTTTTTCAGCAATTAGATAAATTGTACCTATCTGTGCCTTACTCTAGCTTGTTCTTCCTCACATTTCTTCCGCAAGGGCTCTATAAGAAGCCTTTTAACTGAAACAAACGGACAGACAAACCATGGTCTAATCCTGCCACCACTAAAGTATTCAGCAAATCTTCCACCAGCTAAATGAGACCTGAATTTAGGAGTCATCTTTGCTGCTAATTTTGCTTGGCAATAGTGCATTTGATTGTAGCTCGTAACAGATGAGGTTATCAACTCCTGTGTTTCCTGTCCCAAACCGTTTTTATCTTGCAGTTTATTGGTTTTGCATCTGCAGTTCCTTTTCAGCAGCATGACCTCTGAGAAAGTCTGCATGTTGTATTTTACCTGACAGGTGAATTTAGCTGTACACAGGTAGGTTAGGAGGTTATGACTGATGTGCCTTTTCTTTGTTTTGTTTTTAATTTCTCCTTGGAAATATGGTGGAACATATCAAATGGGGCTTGCTTCAGTTAAGTACATCCCTGAGCAGGCAAGCAAACTTTTCATCAATATTGGAACCAGAAAGTTCAGTTACTAATTGGTAAATAAAGGGGAGGAGAGGATCTGGTATTTGAATTGGACTATCACAGGACGCGACTGTTCTTCGCACAACAGATGGGCTAGTAAGCACCAGTTCTAAAACAGAGCAAAAAAGACTCTAAATAAAATTAATTTTGGTTATGTATTTACACTGCATTCCGTTCCAGTACTTGCACTCTTACATAATTACATGATTTGCCAACAAAAATCTCCATAATCTTGGTCAGCTAAGTCAGTACTACTAAATAATGTATGTTATCTGTGCTACTGTCAGTCTATAAAACAACCTTTGCTAAATATTAGCACAAGCAAACAAACCCAAACCCATTTGAGAGATACTGCAGAATCTGGAGAAGAGATGTGAGCTTGCTCACTCATTGCTGGACGCTTTGTGAGAAATCACTTTATTAGCTAAGTAGCTACATCATAGTTAGTTAGTTATTGAGGACATCTTTTAATCCTTAAAAATACATCACCTATCTATTCAAAAGGTAGCTTAATACCTTGTAACACAGAGGTAAGGTTAAAATCATAACTCAAACAACAGCTTGAAGCCATCAAAATCCAATTCATTTTAACCAGGATTTTAAGAAAACCTTATCAGTGGGACAAGGAACAATAGGTATGAAATGCAGAAGAGAAGCAAAACAATAGATGGCCATTAATACAGTCCTATTTAATCTTTGGTTGGTTTACTTTTTAAAGAAGCTGTTACACTTGATTATGGAGCCACGTACTAACTTTCTTCGTATTTGATTGGCAGAAATTCCTCTGACACCACTGAAACCATCCTTCACTTAAGGTGTTGCAACAGAGAGAAAGAGGAGGCCCACGGATATGAAACCACACTGAAGGTATTTACTACACCCCCAGCATGGGCACTCACCTTGTCAAAAGCAGGGTATACGGCTCTGATCTCTGTCAGCCAGCCATACGGCATGTGTCCCACAGGATACGTGGCTGTCAGAATCGCCACTGCCTATGAAAAGAGACAATGAAGCACGAACTTCAGATCTTTGAACAGGACAGTCAAAGTAACACAGGGTGCCATTTCCCATCCACATCACCACACCGACCTTGGCGCAATGAGGCACCAGGCAGGCAACTGGGAGCTCTTTGTTTCAGGAAGCCCGTCAGTGGCCATCATTTGGCCCAGAATTTTAAGCTCAGGGAATCTTTCATACCACGAAGCAACATTACTCAGCTTTTTTGTTTCGCCACCCCTCTCAGACTTTGGGATAATAGTTAACCTGAGCTGGTGTGTGCCCCTCAGCCAGCCGAATACCTCCCTGCCACTTTGCTCCGGAGTTATTGTACCTACAAACACCCGAGCAGCAGAACGCCTTACAGCTCACGGCAGCTTCGTATCATATTTCATAATCTTAATCTAGATACATTTTACTTGGTTATTTGTAAATAAAACTGTTTTAAGAAAGACAAATCGACTACAAAACAGTAGGCCCCAGTGGCTGGCTGACTTTGGACATCAAACTGACTGCTCTGGGGCAGGAGGCACTGATGAGACAAACGCTCTCCCCACCTTGGTGTTAATCAGTGAAAAACAGACAAAAATAATTCCAGATGATCATTTTTATCACGAGAAACAACTCACTGCCTGCAATTTAAAACATGGCCCTTTTGCACTTTCACAAGTACAGTCCAAGCGGTCCATCAAAGACATAAAAAAAACCTCTATACAGTCATGTATGAAAGATTTTACTAATGTTTCTAATTTCTGAAGAGAAAGTCTAAATACATGTACTTCATGTCCTTCACGCAGGAAGGGTGTTTCGGGAGCAATTCCTGCAGCTGTCTGGAAATCTACTGTCACCCCAAAGTTTTCTAGCCCTCAGAGCCGAAGTGCACATCTGTACTGAGAACTGCCCGCCTCTCTTAACTCCAGAAACCCGAGTGTTTGGCTGCCTTTCGTCCGCAGGGTCAGATCTGTTACAATCCACCCTCATTCAGATTCATTTTATATCTGGCAGTGGTAGTGTTAAGAAAGACCTTTTTTAACTATTCCTGTCTCTGTTTTGCTCCTAAAGTTTTGATGTATGTTTTCTTGGTTATCTGACCCCATTTTCTTCTTCCATATGTAATTGCTGTCCTTGCTTGGTTAAAGATCTATACAAACACAGGACCATGTACCAAGCTAATTTGTTCCCGGTGCTGTCTAAAAAGAGGAGGGGAAAGCTGTCATATCCAGAAAGCGGAAGAAAGGGGGAAAGATTCCTCACTGCTAATCTTGCAGCTTTAATGTTTAGTGTAACTTGAAAAAGAAATTCGTTCAAAGAAAACAAATCGGAATTGTAAGACAGTACCCTTTTTAATTGCAACTTTCTTCATTATTATATTTTCAGCAAAATTTCCATCTATACAAAAACTAACTAGGTTAAATCAAATATGGAATATAAAAGACATTTTGCTTATTTTCATGGTCAAGTCCAACAAGACTGCAAAGACACAGTAACTGTTAAAGAAAACAATACTTCACTGCCACATTTTGTATGCTATCCACTGGAATTATTGAACTTTTTAGCAGTGATTTTTCTTCCAGTATTTTTCCCCAATTGCTAGAATCCCAAAATACATGCATGAAAGCTTTCCTAAATGTCTAGAACAGAAGTATTTGACAGGTGAAAAAATCCCCCATCAAAGCCAACACCAAAAAACATACCCCAGTCATCATCACTGTGCTGGCAGTCCAACAGAAGCAGTGGGAGTTCGCCAATGCAAGCGGATCTGCTGTCCTCGTGAGCATGCTACACCCTGGCCCTTCACAGGGACATCCTACCCACGCTGAAAGTTGCTGATATTACTGAACAGGGGACGTATAAAACTCCCATGTATGCTGATGCTCCAGACATTGATGTTATCTGTGTTGCCAGCACCTCCCTTTTCAGAAGCAATTATTTCAGAACTCAGAGAAAGTTCAAATGTGACAGTTACTGTTGGCGTAAAAAGGCCAGTAAACCACCAGCTATGATATGTATTTGGAGTCATCCTAATAGCAACAAAATGCAGTTGGCTAGCCATGAAATGTGATGCATCTAAACTCAAAAGTCACCAAGAAATGCAAAACTGATCTCTGCTAACATGCTTTGTCTTCCCTTGTACCGAAACTGCTATTAATGCACACGTTGATCTCTGATTTACACATGTAGAAGAGCTACATTTCCTAAATTCTCTCTCCACAGCTGTTTATTTGCCGTCACTGGCAACTCCTGAGCTAGTGAAATACACAGTGTCACATATGACAAACAGTGCTGAGAGAACGTCTGCTGGGCATCAGCTGCCTGAATTTTCCTTTCCATTGAGTATCTTACAGCTTTGTTTTTCCTACAGAAAAAAACAAGAGAGATTTGCTAATAACTATGTAGATCTTGACATCCTCCCACTGAAACAGGCAGCAAAGGTCCCTCAGACTTCTTAAGGTCAGCTCATGGTGAGCACTGGTGAAGGCTCTGCATTACAATCAGCAGTCTAGCTCCCATCAGCTGTAGGAGACTATCATCAGAGTAATCTTAAATTCCTCAAGAGAACCAGGGTGCATTTCATATTGCAGTCAGGAGACAGATCTTTTTTTATGTCCTTCCTTATGTCTCTACCCTATTCTGTGCAATGCACTGACAGCTAACAATAGTTTCACATCAGTTTGCACAGCCATAAATATGCAAGACATGAAACAGCGTGACATGGGACTACTGAGAACTGTCCTCAGATCTCTGGGATCTGAATGCTCCGGAGCATAGGTACCTACGTGTAGAGCATGAAAACCTGGGATGCAGGAACTGTCCAGAGAAAAAGTTCTACTGGTCTTGTTGAGGGCGAGGTCCCCCTAGGCCTGGCAGAAATGCTTATGGTAAGAGTCCACACAGTCTTCTTTGCAAGGATAAAAAAAGCACTAAATAGGAAGGTACTTAGGCCAATTTCTTCTTGCCAACACGGCTAAGAAGAGAAACACAGAGGCAACTCTATGTAAATGGTCATTTGCAGTAATGGGGAGCACTGGCTTTCTTACCTCTGTGGCTGCAGAACTGCCACCGAGGTCCCGGGAGACAAAAAGGTTGACGATGGGCCTACTTATTCGCTGAGTTGCCAAAATTAACGCCAAAGGCCACCAGAAACTCAGCATCTTCCTTATTGTAGCCTCTCCCTGCAACACATAGGAAAAAACAAAAAAGAAGAAGTAGGTTTGGAAAAAAGTATGCAAAACTGCACTGAAAGCACAGAGAAAGGATTTTTGCTTTTCCCACCCATTATCAGTTTGGTACATTCGTTTCAGTAGTTTTCAATATGAGAAGCCTAAAATATTGTCACTCGTGTTAGTAAGACTGATTCAGAGGAAGCTGTGTCATGGGTCTCAATAAATAATGCATAAGATACCTGCATAATTTGTTCTGGCTACCAGACTAAGCTATGTGAAAACCAATATGACAGGAGAAATTTTGAGACCTTCTTCCCTGTGAAATAAGATGTCCACATAGTTCATGCTGTGCTGTCTTACAGCTCAGGACAGAGCTCAGCACAGAGGTGCCCAGCAGACAGCACATCCGTACCACGGGAAGGGGCACGGTTGGGGTAGGAAGCATCCAGGGCAGCATTGCCTCCTGTGCACTGTTGCTGGAGTAGTTTCTACGATGCCTCTTTAAATGAAAAAATGGTTTTTCCTGCAGGACGGAGGGAGGAGGCCCTTCACGCACAGTGGTTTAATACAGTATTACAACACAAAAAGTAAGTTTGAAATTATCGAATTCGAAAAAGCATAAAGTAATAAGACACACCCCCATTTCAGGCCCACTTCTGTCAGGAATGACGTCATGTATGTTCCTGTAGTATCCGAGGCATAGGGTGGTACATCGGACAAGTGCTCCCATGTATAAGGACAAGATTGGGATCAAGAGAGGCTCCCTGCACTCCAAGTGACTGTGAAGCAAAATGGCTACAAAAACAACCTGCAGGGCAAACAAAGAAGAGATTAGTAATTTGTCTCTCTGTTTCTTTAGGGCAAACATATCTCCCACCTGACTCCAAGTCAGTCCATCTGAACCAACAACCACGCATGACTACAGTATCTATCTGACTTTCAGCTTGTGGCACTTGAAACTTTAGTCAGAACCTCCCCTGCACTCGGTCATACGAATGAGAAGAACAAGAGTTAACATCATACAGAAGCTCCATCAAACAGTACTCGAAGGTACGGGCAGGTGTCAGACCACGAGCCACAAATAGGAGAAGGTTAGCATGAAAGTCTGGCAAGGTCCAGCAGCAAGCACGTGGCCGAGTGCCACCCCTTCCAGGAGAATGTGCTATTCTGATACGCACTGAGGCTGCAGACATGCTTCTAGGGTCACCTTCTAAGCCCTACTGTTTTTTTGGAGGGGGGGGGCTGGATAGCAGCAACTATAAAGGCAGGTTTTTTAAAGTATTCACTTCAGCATTTAGGAGCAGGAACTCTTATGTCATCCTAGTTTTCTAATTTTTTGAGTGAAATTTCAGTATTTCATCATTCTCTCTTCAGCTGAGTGCTACATTAACGTAACTGAAATGGAAACTTTTGGGCTAACAAACAGCTCATAATTCAGTCTGTAAGATTAAATGCTCAAGCCAGAAAATGCAAAGGAATTGACGAACACAATATTATTCTCTTCGTTAAGTACAGAGCTGATGGCATGCCTGTTAAATTCCAAATGTCTCTGGATGGGGGGGCACAACAATGTTTGGTGCTGTGAACAGCAGAATCCAGGACAACCCTGCTGGGACATGCTGGCATTCAAGTGAGCTACAAGAAACACAAAACTCGTTGTTCAGTTGCGGGTTCTCTCCTCCATTGCTAGAGCTCAAGAAATACTTCAGAAAAATCACACCGTGCAAATGTTTATTAGGCAAGCCACGCCGTTTATGAAGGTTTGCCAAACTGCTCTTTTGAACCCTACAAAAGAAATGTTTTCCAGTAAACAGAAGCAAAGTCAGTCACAAAAAAGTGTGTATATGAAGTTACCCAAGGAGAATTATCCACTGCCTGTGCAGCTATTGCTTGTGTAGGGAGCAGAAGTAGATGTAGGGAGTTGTGGGGTATGGAGAGTCACAACTTCTTGTCTTCTGGATTTGCTCTTGCTCTCTGCAATATTTTGTTGAGAGAAGACGACAGGTGGCTTATTCTTCACAACCCTGGCACCCCACTCACCAACCATTGTGAAAAGGGCATGTCTACCACGGACAAAATAAGAATTTGTTTCTGTATTTAGCTGTTTATGACCTGACATGCATCCAGGGTCAGCAAACTTTGTGGGTCACATCAGAACAAGAGCAAATCCTGAGGGTTAAGGTCATTGACAGCAATTGGAATTATCTTTAGGGATTCAGTGCAGCACCATAGAGGGCCAGGCCTGACAAACCTGGAATAGCAGGCGACTGAATGGTTCAACCTGGTTTATGGTTTGCTCATATTTAGTGGGAGGAAAATGCTATGGAAAATTGAAGTAAGTTCTGTTGTCTTCGTATTTCCTTTGATGTTGTACTGTTATTATCCTCTTTCTTACCCAGTCATTGCACCACTCAGCTGGTAATGGGGCAGTACAGCAATTGTTTTACAGGTGCTGGGACTCTCCATTTCGTAATATTTTTATATATGCTGTAAAAAGAGGGCTGTATATTGGTTCTCAAATACTGCAACACTGGCCATCAGCAATGTGTATGAATGTTGTTTTTTAAATATGTCTAGCGCAAAGCAACAGGATAATTAACACCTCCCTTACAAATGACAGTTCAAACAACACTTGGTCTCTACATCCCCCCGGGGCTATCACCACAGATCCCTTCTGCTGCAGGGGCACGGTTGGGGTAGGAAGCATCCAGGGCAGCATTGCCTCCTGTGCACTGTTGCTGGAGTAGTTTCTACGATGCCTCTTTAAATGAAAAAATGGTTTTTCCTGCAGGACGGAGGGAGGAGGCCCTTCACGCACAGTGGTTTAATACAGTATTACAACACAAAAAGTAAGTTTGAAATTATCGAATTCGAAAAAGCATAAAGTAATAAGACACACCCCCATTTCAGGCCCACTTCTGTCAGGAATGACGTCATGTATGTTCCTGTAGTATCCGAGGCATAGGGTGGTACATCGGACAAGTGCTCCCATGTATAAGGACAAGATTGGGATCAAGAGAGGCTCCCTGCACTCCAAGTGACTGTGAAGCAAAATGGCTACAAAAACAACCTGCAGGGCAAACAAAGAAGAGATTAGTAATTTGTCTCTCTGTTTCTTTAGGGCAAACATATCTCCCACCTGACTCCAAGTCAGTCCATCTGAACCAACAACCACGCATGACTACAGTATCTATCTGACTTTCAGCTTGTGGCACTTGAAACTTTAGTCAGAACCTCCCCTGCACTCGGTCATACGAATGAGAAGAACAAGAGTTAACATCATACAGAAGCTCCATCAAACAGTACTCGAAGGTACGGGCAGGTGTCAGACCACGAGCCACAAATAGGAGAAGGTTAGCATGAAAGTCTGGCAAGGTCCAGCAGCAAGCACGTGGCCGAGTGCCACCCCTTCCAGGAGAATGTGCTATTCTGATACGCACTGAGGCTGCAGACATGCTTCTAGGGTCACCTTCTAAGCCCTACTGTTTTTTTGGAGGGGGGGGGCTGGATAGCAGCAACTATAAAGGCAGGTTTTTTAAAGTATTCACTTCAGCATTTAGGAGCAGGAACTCTTATGTCATCCTAGTTTTCTAATTTTTTGAGTGAAATTTCAGTATTTCATCATTCTCTCTTCAGCTGAGTGCTACATTAACGTAACTGAAATGGAAACTTTTGGGCTAACAAACAGCTCATAATTCAGTCTGTAAGATTAAATGCTCAAGCCAGAAAATGCAAAGGAATTGACGAACACAATATTATTCTCTTCGTTAAGTACAGAGCTGATGGCATGCCTGTTAAATTCCAAATGTCTCTGGATGGGGGGGCACAACAATGTTTGGTGCTGTGAACAGCAGAATCCAGGACAACCCTGCTGGGACATGCTGGCATTCAAGTGAGCTACAAGAAACACAAAACTCGTTGTTCAGTTGCGGGTTCTCTCCTCCATTGCTAGAGCTCAAGAAATACTTCAGAAAAATCACACCGTGCAAATGTTTATTAGGCAAGCCACGCCGTTTATGAAGGTTTGCCAAACTGCTCTTTTGAACCCTACAAAAGAAATGTTTTCCAGTAAACAGAAGCAAAGTCAGTCACAAAAAAGTGTGTATATGAAGTTACCCAAGGAGAATTATCCACTGCCTGTGCAGCTATTGCTTGTGTAGGGAGCAGAAGTAGATGTAGGGAGTTGTGGGGTATGGAGAGTCACAACTTCTTGTCTTCTGGATTTGCTCTTGCTCTCTGCAATATTTTGTTGAGAGAAGACGACAGGTGGCTTATTCTTCACAACCCTGGCACCCCACTCACCAACCATTGTGAAAAGGGCATGTCTACCACGGACAAAATAAGAATTTGTTTCTGTATTTAGCTGTTTATGACCTGACATGCATCCAGGGTCAGCAAACTTTGTGGGTCACATCAGAACAAGAGCAAATCCTGAGGGTTAAGGTCATTGACAGCACTTGGACTTATCTTTGGACAAAATAAGAATTTGTTTCTGTATTTAGCTGTTTATGACCTGACATGCATCCAGGGTCAGCAAACTTTGTGGGTCACATCAGAACAAGAGCAAATCCTGAGGGTTAAGGTCATTGACAGCAATTGGAATTATCTTTAGGGATTCAGTGCAGCACCATAGAGGGCCAGGCCTGACAAACCTGGAATAGCAGGCGACTGAATGGTTCAACCTGGTTTATGGTTTGCTCATATTTAGTGGGAGGAAAATGCTATGGAAAATTGAAGTAAGTTCTGTTGTCTTCGTATTTCCTTTGATGTTGTACTGTTATTATCCTCTTTCTTACCCAGTCATTGCACCACTCAGCTGGTAATGGGGCAGTACAGCAATTGTTTTACAGGTGCTGGGACTCTCCATTTCGTAATATTTTTATATATGCTGTAAAAAGAGGGCTGTATATTGGTTCTCAAATACTGCAACACTGGCCATCAGCAATGTGTATGAATGTTGTTTTTTAAATATGTCTAGCGCAAAGCAACAGGATAATTAACAACTCCCTTACAAATGACAGTTCAAACAACACTTGGTCTCTACATCCCCCCGGGGCTATCACCACAGATCCCTTCTGCTGCAGCTCACCTTTTGGACCAGTAACAAGAACAGTGCCATACCGGCACTGAGAAGACAGCTTACACTACTGCATTTCACCAGATTAGACAGCATGTGTGAAACTGCCAGGTGAACTGCAGAGTCAAGCTTTCACTTCCCCACCTACAAGCCCCACTCAGGATTTCAGGGCAACTGTGCGAAGCGCGGAGGAGAACGCACAGGGTGGAAAAAGTCTCTTTTGAAGAACTCCATCAGCCTCAGGCTTGGCAGGTGCCATCAGTCTCTTTGCCTGACCTTTCTTTTTCCCAGATGTACACGTGTATATATGCCCTGTTTCTCAGCCATTCTGAAACAGGGTTGTGGGGGTGCTGGAAGACATGACCCTAGCCCAGACAGTCCTGGTTCCCTTCTCCTGACACTGCTTTGGAACTGCCTTGATCCAGACAAGTGAGATAAGCCTAAACCACAACGGTCAGCAAGCAGCCTCCACACGATGCGGAAACAGCTGGAGCACAGCGCACATGATTACTTCCTCTGGTGTGTTGTTCAGGGTAGAGAGCAAAGACAGTCTCTGCTCAGAAGAGTCCCTGCTTAGGAAAGCATCTAGTCTGTAACACAGAGGAAACAGTGACTGCTAAGAGGAGGCATTACCTGAGCTATGACATCTGAGATGGAGGCACATCCCACTAGGAAACTGTACTTGTGTTTCAGCAGAATCCCAGCATGGGTCCATGCCTGAAAAAAGGCAGAGAAGACTTTAGAGGGAAGTGATTATAATATTCGTGAATGATTTCTGGTCCCAGAATACTGTTTTCTGGTTGTTACATTGTACACAAACACCTTACAAAGCACTTTTCCACCAGCAGTACCTGGTGTGAACCTGTTAAGCCAGTAATGCAGGGAAAGCACTACTGTTCAGTTCCTCATTGCCAGGACTGAAACGGAGAATGGAAATAATTTTACAGAATGTGCAGAAATTTCTGAGCAGATCTAATATGAAACTGCCCTTCTTTATAAAACAGATGCGGCACAGGATCACTTATCACACTAAATAATCTGAGAGAAAAAACGTTTCTTGTCATCCACCAGTTGGATGCACCTCTGAAGGGTAATACGAAGTGGCTCACTGAGTTATACCCAGTCCTGCCTGGAAAAGAAAATTTAATGATCCAACTTCTTTTCATTGTCAGCTACTGCTTCAGGTGGACAAAGTTGTAGAGAAAGTGGTGGATGCCATGAGAAGGCTTTCTTTTACCAGTTTTACACTGAAGTAAAGGAATTAGAGAGTGCTGCCGTATTTTTATGCTGTGATTTGTTACTCCACAAGCAGTAAGCCTGGTGATCTCGGGAGCAGCAGCCTAGCTCCATGTGTGGCTCTCTTGCCCTTGCATTTGAGATACACTGGACTCTGCTTGCAAAAACTGATGGTAAGAAATATCTTTGCAACAAACCTGCTTTGAGAAAGTATTGAGCCTATTCCCTGTGCAGGTGACCTGGGAATGCAACGCAAATCCAACTCTTTCACTACAGACTGGAATGGGAGGACACAGGCAGACAAATGGCACAGCTCGTCACAGGATCACCAGTGCTCTCCAGCATACACATACAGTAACTCTGACAAGGCAGCTCAGTTTTCTTACATTTGTCATGACCTCTGGATGTTCAAAGTCCACCCAGATGTTTTTTCCTGGTAGCAGGAGATGATGTGTTCAGGTATATCCATAGCTACTGCTTGCAAAGGACACACCTTCCTTCTGCACGCTTCCAGTTTCCCCATCAGGTAACAGAATTTCCAAACTAAGGTTACAAAAAAATCCCCCAAAAACGTTCATATCAAAATTCAGTTCTGAATCAGGCACTCACCATGGCATCCATAAAAGGGAAGGCAGCAAGATAAAGGAAGGCCCTCCGAGTTTTACTTCCCACTGATTCATCCACATGGTGCAGCTTATTAATAATGTAATACCCCAAATCGCTATATGCTGTAGAGACACAAAAATAGGAACCCATAATAAAGGTTACACATGGACTCTGGGTGAGATGGTAAAGTACCTGAAAGACTGTGACACGTAGGAGCTCAGACATGCATCCAAGGTTACACATGGACTCTGGGTGAGATGATAGTTACAAGTACCTGAAAGACTATGACACATAGGAGCTCAGACATGCATTCACTTAGCAAACAGCTGCAGGGGCTTCATTATATTACAGCCTCACCAGCTGCTGCTTATGACTAAAGAGTGCTCTCAGGGTTCTTCTTCAAGTAACCTTTGGCAGAGGAGTGATAACAAATGGCTGGGCTGGGAGATGGATATAGTAAGTGCCACACCTGCTTGCTAAATGAACACACTGGTACTCCAGAAAATCTACTGCTCTTTCATTAACTCAAGGCTCTTTGTTAGAAAAGCTGTTCTCATGAGGTATTAGTACCTTATAAATGCTGAAACCATCCATTGTCACTGCATTCTCTTGACACGACCTGTAAACCTGCCCAAAGCTGTCAAAGCAAACTATGAATTGTGAAGGCGGGCAACAAATCGCACTCATTACGCCTCTCCCTCACTCCGCCTAATGATCACCTCCGCTGGGACCTGTCAGGGCACTGCACAGTTCACTGGACAGCCTCTGGGCAGCCTCGCCCAGCCTTAGTTTCCCTCCTTATCTGGAGTCGGCCTCTCAGGGTCAGAAAAGGGCAGCGATGGAAACCAGGGGGCTGCCGCTTCCGATCGCCAGTATGTTATTTTGCCATCCTGCTTCAACCCGAGACAAGAATTTTTAGTGTTGGGCAACACGACTCTCGCCAGGTCTCTCTTCCCAAGGCACTGGGTTGAAGTCAGCACCAATGCAGGGACTCGCCACACGTCTCTCTAAGGAACTGCTTACGCCTCTGTTAGTACCCGTGTTCTCCAGCTGTTTTAATAACCCCAGAGCCCTCCCCATGCCCAGGAATAACGAAGAGCTAGCTACGTCAGGAGTCTCTGAAATATGGGGACTTACATAATATGCACAGTTAAATAATATAAATAGTTTTTAACCTTTTATAAACTATGTTCTAGACCTGCATATCATTACACAGCTTCCCCTGTACTCTTCTAATAGCTGTTAAAAAAATGATGAGGTTGTAAAGTCAACCTCCCAGCACAAGTAATGGCAGAATTACTTGTGCCTGGGGAATCTTACCTCAGATCTCTTCCACTAATGTCTTTTCTAAGATAATTATTTCAAATGTGAACAGCTATCTGATTTTCCATTTATAACAACTCTGTTTACAGACCTTCATGTAGTGTATTTCAGGGAAGTTATCCTTTTCATGCATGTGGGTCACATAATCGGATTGACAAATGCTAACACTAGTTGTTGAATCTTTTTAGCCTAAAACTAACTCTTATAACTCATAAACAGTGTTTGAAATCAGTTAAAGAGGAGTTTAAGTCATCATTGCTTTGTGCTGGTTTAGGGATACAACAGTTAAATGGTTAATAGGACTGAAAGGACTTTTTCAGCCTGAACAAGACAGTAAACAAGGTAGTGAAAAAGAAGGTGCTATGACAGCACTGGGAACAGGCATGAGCCTCATTCCAGGTAACCGGGACTGCCCAAAAGATGCTAAAATGTTAAAAGCTCCCCCTTTCCCTGTGCTGGTCCCTGTCTATATGTCTTTCATCTGAACTATGACTGTTAGACTCGCAGTCTCTCAGTTCACCCACTAATCCCCAAGTTGCTGAGCTACACTCCCGTGGCACTCCCAGCCTTGTTTCCTTTTGAACGGGATTAGGAAAAATCTTTGCAACAGGATTCCAGCCCCTCCTGAGTCCAGGGAGGCCAGTTTAGTTCTTTAATTGCTCAGGTGCTTGTTGCAGTCCAGTCACACACCAAGCACAGACTCTTCATTTTTGCATGAATATCCACACATCAATTTTTGCCCAGTATTTTGAAATTTCTCTGTTATGCATGGATTTTTGTGTGGTAAGTCCTTGTGGACAGCTGCTTTTATGGCAGGGCAGTACATGGATGTTTCAGAATCAACTTATTTGAATGAAGGAGAAGACATCTGGATGGCACGTGAGGCAAGCCGCCTGTGAAGGCCAGCGTCATTGAGCTGTCTCTTAGGTGCTGCTGGAGTTGCTTTACACTTCTCCTGCACAAAAACTTAAAAACTGCTGTGGGAAACGCACCAGCCTTGTTCCCCACATGGGGAGTGACAGAACCAGAGCCCAGGTGCTGAGGAACCTGCTCCTGTGGAGGGGCCCCCACCAGCAGCACGGCGCTGGGGAGACAGCACGCTGCATAAGTCACCCTCCGTTCTCCATGCACTTCACCTGCTGGGCTTCTCCTGCTTCAAAGCAGACTTTTAACATGTTTAGAAAGTGAATAACAAGTCACCTTTTTTTTGGGTCTAGAAGCCACTGAGATGTTTAAATTTTTTTTTTTTTTTTAAATTTAAATTCACAGAAAAATCACAGAATCCGAGCAGCCAGAGGCTGAACTACTCTCACTTCTAGGAACAGACAGTTCAGCACAGGGCTGTAATTCACTGGCAGGGCACTCTCAAGGGACTTTCACCGTCACAGACCACAGGATCACATTTTTAGGATCTCTAGGGACATCAGTCCTGTGCTCTGTAACCTGTGAGATTCTTTTTTCTCCCCCCAACCAAAAAAAGCCTAACTGCACTTTTTAATGTGATTTTGATTTTATAATCATAAAGTTAGTTTTGAAACAGTCAACCAACTTCTTCCCTGTGTCAGTGAGCGTGCACTATCACTTTTGCTGACGTTAGTGAACGTTTCCATCCTCAGAAAGAAGGACTTGGCAAGCTGAGATTTACTGACAAATATACAGGCATGTGTCTCTGAGCTGTGAATAAAGCAATTGCTGATGCAATTAGAACTTCACCTTGGCCAACCTTACAAACTTATTATGAAGCATGGTACAACATTAATAACACGCAACAGAGCTGCAGAGTATTACACGGATCTAAAGCAGATGGCTCTTCCCATTCCTTGCATCATTTCAACAAAAACAGAGAACTCCAAGACAAGCTGCCTGTTTGCTCTCCTCTAATACCTCATTTATTTTGATATGTTTATGGATTAGTTTTGCTACAGAACTTAAGAAGGAATTCTTACTTTTGGGTTTTCTATTTGAGTTTTAAGACCCAGAAAATTAAGAAATGACACTGAAAACTGCATACCTAATTGGATCTCCTCTTCCCTACTTTTTTTTTGAGCTGATTACCACCACGCAAATTTCAGACATTCTTAAAACAAATGCACACACTCTTAATGACGCCAGCAGTCTCAAAACAAATAGCTGTACCATAGTCATTTTTGGGCTGTCTACTACCCTGCATGTCATACTTAGATCATAAAGAAAACAAAAAGAAATCCTCACAGCAATGATACCATTTACTTCCAGACACAGAGCTACATACGTCAATATTAGCTTAACTGGAGAAAAAAAAAGCTTAGTGTGTTCTTTTTAGATGCATTCCATTTTCACACTTTGCTGCCAGTTTTAAAAATGAACTTGGAGACTTGAGAAGTAAAAATCTATTCTGCTGTCAGAAAGATGGCTCACATGGCTAAAACTGGTACTGGTCAGAGATTTTGTTCAGCTAAGTAATTTGGGCAAATAGGAAAATGTCAATTTGCAAAAAACCAAAATCGAATGGCAAATCTTCATTTAGAAATGGCACAGGGTACATAGATTTCTTTATGTCTTTGATTAGCCCAACTTGCAGCAGAAGCAAAAGCTTGCATACCCCTCGTGAAAGCTGAGATGATCACAGTATTTTAGGCTTCGTAATTTTTTTGCTCATAGTAATAAATGAATTAAAATAAAACCAGCATAGAATCATCTCAATGCAGACTGATTACTGCAATCATCTTTTTCTGTGCCAAGCTCTAGTTCCAAAATTGCATTACTTGATTTTCTCAAATCTGTCAATGACCGTTGGTCTCTGAAGTGTCTTTAGGTAGGCCAACATCTCCTAAGTCTCAAAATTAGCCTGTTTTAACTAAAAACCAATCATTGCTATCCTAAAATCCACAAATGCTTTGGTCATAGGGTTTCTTCCTTCTTCCTTTGCCCTGAATACCTTGCTGATAAGAAACTGCCCCTGCTGTGTGAGAAGGGTTGGGGCAGCTGGGGAAGCATGCTACTGCTTTAGCAATGGCCATCTGAAGATGCTGAAGTTCGACATATTTTTAATGAATAACATTTTATCATCTTTTAGAAAGAAAAAAAAAAAGGCAAGCCTGGATTTTATCCTGATTCTTATTCCTGTGCTATCATCTTTTTCCAGGGCAAAATGTTTAGTACAAGCCAGTATAGCGGGCACGTCAGAATATGACTGACTAGACAAAATAGCTCAGGTTGTTATAAGCCACTCTGTAACTCCTACTCTCTAGAAAATTCCAGCAGTGTTACACTGGAAGTGGTGGGATTACACCAGTGTCTTGCTTCTTATGCAGATCTTTCACGTACATGCAGTGACCATGCATGTGGGAAGTTCAAAAGAATCAGTGGAATTACTAGCAACTGCAGAAGTTTTCCCCTGTGCAATCTGTGCAGGGAGCAGCCCATGCCCACTAGCCTGTCAGTAACAAATTGGCACGAACTAAATGATTAGCATGTCTGGACCATCCAGTCTGCTATAGGTTCGCCTGCTTACTAAAGCTCCAACCAGTTTTTCCTGGTAATGACAAACGATCCATCATATAATTTTTAACCACTTGCAGTGGGCACCAGTTACGGATGTCTACTTAAGCAAAGAGGATGTTTCCCCAAAGGAACTTCGGTCTGTTCATTTTCAGAACATCAGAGAGCTGCAGAAAGTAATATTAATACGCAAAAGGAAATACACTTTATCAGCACACTGTTTCTCAGTAAACTAGTGAAGGGCCGGACAGTGCTGATTTATTGCCAAAGAAAATGTGCGTGCCCTTCATGACAGTGGTGTTAAAAGGACTCACTTAGTATGGAGGGCTTACCAGCAACACCATGAAATCCATTATATTAGCATAATTTTATACAAATAATTTCTTTCCTCTGTCAAGCTTGCAATTTAGTAAGATGTCAAAATTATGCACAGACAGGCTTAGCATCTTCAGTCCCTTCTCCTACAGCCCAATATCCCCACCAAAAGCCAATCTCTGAAATAACAAGATGCTTTAGACCCTGACTACATAGTGAACTTCTCACAAGGAAACCCTAACTGGTGGCAGTAGCTGCCCTCAAAATAGCACAAGGGGAGGAAGGCAGGATATTATTTTCTGTTTCCAGCTCACAACTGAAACAGCAAATGCAGGAGTACTGTGCTGACCAAGGTTTGCAGCAGCCTTGTAAGTGGGGCGAGAATATGGTTTCAAATCCCTTTGGTCAAGTCAGCTTGTCTCGTGGTTCTTACTGCTACCTGTAGAGGGGATTGATAGGAACTGTTGGTGAGGACTCTGCGGATGTTCATGGGAATATGTGGTGGGGTGATGACTTAGGGACCCAGAGCTTGCAGCTGTGCATTTCAGTGGTTTGGCTCAGCCAGTCACTCCCAGAGAGAACTGTCCTAGACCTGGTGCGGGAGCAGTAGTAGGGAGCTGGTGCTGGAGCAATGAAGCATGAGTCAGGTGGGTGAAACGGTCTGTTTTGGTATTTTAATGAAGTAGAGGCTGCTGTTTGTGAAGAGCTGTGTGTGCAGACTGTGTCTATCACAGTTGTAAATGTGGTGATTCATTGTGGTCACCGTGTTTCTACCACCATTTGTTTTCTTCCTTCTGACTTTGAGTACTCCTCCTTATTTCACTGGGCTTTTTGTTCCCCATTCCTTCCTGGGCTTCAAGAGTCCACAGCAGACAGTCATGTCACCTTCCTTAGCCACATATACAAGGCATGTGGAAGAAACTCAGTCCCCTGAGTGCTGTTTGTTTCTGGTTTTCATCTGCCGAGCATCAGTAACCTGTATTTTTGTCTCCTGTAGATAGTCTGTGATAGGCTTGCAGCTGCTGGGGAGTAGCTGCAGGTCCTAGGAGGCTGCCTGTCTGTCACTGGACTTCTTCTCTCCCTCCTGCTAGGCAGGTTGTGCATCTGTGGGTCAGAGAAGAATAATCAGGATGTGAAGCATGTTCAAAGGAAACTTGGAATATAAAACTTGGCAACATCACCCAGGCAATTGGTGCGAGAATCTGACTAATTCCATTCTCTCAGGCACTCTGCCAGTCTCTGCTGTGGCCTTTACATATTTTCAGGCATAGACAAGTTAAAATACTAAAAAATATTTTGCAGTCTGCCACCACAAGCAGCTGAAAGATTGTGTGAAGCCCTTTAATTCAGGACTTTAAAGCATGGCAAGTACAGTCTTCTTTTTTCTTTTTTTCCCCAATATCTGCAGAGAGGGCATTTCAGAGGTTCTGAACTCAGCAGGGCTCTATTTCCAGGCAAAGGCAAGAAACATCTCTGGCATGTTTTCAAATGGTTGCCCCAAACACCTCTCTTTAATAAAAATTCCCACATGGAAAATCCAGCTATGTCTTTCACCTGGAAATTTGATAGTTATAGCTTAAAATAAAATGTTGGATGTCTAGAAAATATTTCTTTATCCAGCTGGCAAAGCCAAAAACTTCAACCAGCACTGTCAGGAAAACAAGCCAGCAACTAGAAGAGCAGCTCTGGGGGCTGACAGAAGCAAAGAAATATGAGAGCCAAATGCACAAACAGCCTGAAGTTTAGAATACTGACTCAATAAAGCAGCCTCAACTGTAAACATATCGAAGCAGTGACCAATCGATACTAGTGAATTAAATTAACTTGAATGCATGGATTCAGCTTAAAAAATCAGCAACAGTTTATCCCTGGCACAGAGCTGCCACGGCTAGTGAGCCGTTACTGTAAGCATTTATTACGACAGTAACATGGAATAAAGGTAAACAGCATAGGGCTGCTGTATCGGCAGTGGAATAACACACATGATGGTTAATCAAACTGGAGTGCTTGGGAGGCACGGGCAGCTGGTGAATATAGCTGGCAGCCTGTTCAAGGTTAAGAGCAGGGGCATTCGCATTTACCAGATGGCTCCTGTACCTACTTGGGCAGGAACCGCATGCTGACCAGCAGCACATGCTGCTCTTGAGATACTAACAGCCCAACAGTGAATGGTGCCTCACTTCCAGGCCATTCCATAATTTCACAGCAATTCTGGATACTGCTGTCACACTCACGCTTCCCATCTTTCTGTGACAGAATGAGCCCCTACTGCTGGTCATCCAATTCAACCCTACTGCCTGTCAACCAACACGTGCCTCCATAGGCTGTTGCATTACTTCCCTCTTCCCATCCCTCTGAGCTCCTAGCTTTTAGGACTGTACCTGCTGAATGCAATGCACTCTCTGCTTCTTCCTCCAGCGTCTCCTGTTCTCGTTGCTGAGATCCAGAGGCTTCAGCTCTGTGGAATGAGCCAGAAGGTGCAGGGAATCTGGTGCAGTTCTTGGAGAGGATGAAGTTGAAGTCTTCCAGGTCACATGGCTTTTTATTGCTGCAGTACCGGCTGATGCTTGGGTTGGTATCACATTTCTCCAGGCTCTCAGGAACCGGCAGATCCTGTGGCTGCCTTCCTTTTTACGTTCAGTTCATATCTGCTTGTGTATTTTCTTTGCTTCAGAGTATGCTCAGGGAGGTGGTCTCAGTTTGGCATAAAGTGCTCTTAGTAACTACTTCTTCCCTTACAGATTAATTATTCAACAGAAGTGGATGATGACTAGTGCTAGCAGAGAGTTGTACCTGATATTTTAATGAGGATGGTGGCACCTGCTTGCTTAGAGTTTTGTACTCTGAGTTAAGTAGCAAAGGGACAGCTACAGGGGAGTGCCATTTGTGCAGATACTGCTAGCTGATCATCACTACCTAACAGTAAGACTGAGCTACCAGCTTCATGCGACCTGTCAACCTTGCCAAAGCTTTGCTCGCACACTTGACTGAAAGAGATCAGCACCACCTTTTGCTGCCAGGCAGGAGAGCCCTGGAGGTGGAATCTGCCACTTAACAGCCTCTTTAAAAAGTAACAAAAATTATGTGGATGAGCATGATACCAGCCCAAGAGATTTAACCTCTTTTGCATCTCCTGTTGCACTTATAAATGAAATCTTCTGCCTACAGATTAGTGAGTTTGAAGAACAGGCGAGGGAAGGAAATTAAAAGACATATTTATTAGATGTGAAGTGACCTTACCTATTAAGGTATGAAATACAGCAGCTACAGCGCCAGCCACAACCATGCACAAAACTGCTTTGGTCCTGTCTCGCTTGCTGTTCACAAACACCAGACCTACATTTTTGAAGTCACTCATCGGACCCGTGAAGAACTTCATCAGGGAGTATGCCAGCCCATAGCTGGCCAGCATTTCCACAGCATCTTCCTTGACAGCAGCGATGCCCCTATTCAAGGCCTGTTGAAACACAGAAAGAGAAAATAATGTAGCACATCTGGAAGTGTACCAAAAGTAGTCTTCTGCAGCCACATTCTGAGGGAACAAGCAAGTCCAGCTCTCATTGTTTTCACCCGGTTCATATGGACAATAAATTCAAGCCAAGTAGACTTAAATATAAGGTAAATATCTACTTCTAAAGTACATAATGGAACTCCTGCTATACCAGAAGTCAGTCTCTTTCCTTTTAGAATAATTTTATGACGTGCTAATAATCATGGACAATACAAGACCATTTAAATGCTGCTTTGAGGTCTCAGCACCGAATTGAACAAAGCACAGTCCTTACAGGCCATCTTTACAGGTAAAAACTGACATTATGATATGCTGAAGTTTCAGGAGCTCAAACTTTTTTTCAGTGTAATGAGCTTTTCACTATATCCCACGTAATCGTTGTGAACAGCCGATATTATCCTACGATGTTTATTACGGAACTAGGCCAAATATGCACGTGACTAAACATAACCATTCTCCTTTCAGGTACTCCACAAGGTGCTGATGCTATAATCATTTATATCTCCTTGTAGCATATTCAAAAAGAAATACAGCACATGTATTTCAAGACATATTTAGGTTCAACTAACCTACTAATTCATTCTAGGTCCATACTTAGGAAATGTCTGCCAGTGAATCACTGAGAATTAGACAGATTATTTTTATAACTAAGACGAACCATAGAAAAAAGGTGTAACATTGCTTCAGATTCCAGCTTGCACCAAAATCCTTCTAAAATATTGAATAAAAATGACAGAATGATAAATTTTATCTGCAGTGTGACAGCATCAATCATCTGGTACACCCAGCAAGCTGTTAAAACAAGATTAGATTCAAAAAGTGTGAAGGATGAGATGCGACTTGTTTTCACAAGTATTTGGTTCCTATGGGTTACGGCTGATGTGTGCTGACAGGGCCATGGCAATGAGGCCAACCAGGAACACGTCTCCAACGTACCCTCCAAATCTCGCTCTATCCACTTACAGAGCAGCTCTACCACCGCTCTTTCTGAACGAACAAACCAGGCAGCATAACATCAGGTCATTGTGGTGAAATCCTTCCATTTCAAATGTAAGCATAGTCTTGTTGTTGCAGTGTTTTGACTTTTTTTTTCTCCTTCCAAAGACCATATAAGCAAAGACTTCAAAAGAAACTGCATCCCCATACCAGAAACGAGCATTTTTCCTACTGTTCTTTTCTACTCTTTGAGACATGTGTAATTTTTGAAACTAAAGCTGCACTGTCAACATAGCAAAGAGCTGTAGAAAATACCAACTTCTCCATCCCTGCTATCTGCCAAATCTCTCTCTTGCAACATGCTCTGACCTGAACACCTGAGGCTCCAAATGTTTTCATCTGTCTCGCTCCAGTTTGTCTCTTCCTGAAAAGGCCATGTATTAGATATAGAATACCTGCAGCTGCTGTAGGCAATCTGTTCTGGGGTATAGATAATTCCATCTATTGCAGTGATAAGAGTTCAAATCTGCAGATGCCTAAACCACTAGTGAGTGCACAAAACTGTACTCAAACCATTCGTGGAAAAGACTGTAGCCTCTGAAATGAATACTCAAGTTTAGCTGTCTTTTGTGATGATGTCTGTGATGATGTTGTAATCGATATCAAGGTATATACAGAGTTATAATCTTTTTATTTAAACTTCCTAAATATGGTGAATCTCCCTGTTGCTGTTGCCAGTATTAGGCAAATAGCCTTAGATTATGCCATACAGAAAGTTTCTTGATCATGGCTTTTTCCTTCTCTTTTCTTTCGCCAACAGGGAAATATTTCTGGTACCTAACCAATTTCAGGTAGTCTGGTTCAAAAGCCTCTCGTCACATGAAAACAGCTGAATTATTTCCAGCACAGTTTCACAAGCACAAGTGCTTCCTTCCTGGTCTGGACAACTACTGAATACCAGAGTCTGTGGAGGATGGTAACCCACTTCAGACAAGGTCCCTGAGATAAACGTGGCTTTAAGAAACCACATTCTGTCAAGAGGCACAGCACTATGGTCCCCTTGCAGAGATACAAATCTTGGTCGAGCGCAGTCCTCAAGCCAGTGCCACTGGCTCTGTGTGACTTCGGCCCCGCAGTAGCTAAGTTTTCCACCTAAGCAGGACAGACAGAAAGACTTGAGCACTCCTCTTTCTCTCCCTCTCCGGTTTCACAGGCTGAACTCTGATGTCTTTTGTATGAATGAATGACAGCCAACTATATGCTTCTGACTAATTTTCCCCAGAGACACACTGTGTTCCAGGTAAGGTAAATGGGCAAAATCCAAAAGGGACTTTTGTAAGAGGTATGTTGCCACTAATTTACACTTCTGTGGAACGGTTGGCTGACATGATGAAATACTCTAGAGGCTAGCGCTGAAAAAGCAATCCTTCTAAATGCTTCTTTGGCAAGATTCTTAGGAAATGAACAGTCAAGAGCGCTGGGTACAGATGGATTAGCTTCTCTAGCTTTCTTTTTCCTTTTTCATTTTAAGATGATAATGTGAAAGGTTCTTCATGCTGAACTTCCAAACATTATATGAGAACTTGTGTAGCTTTTCTGCCCCATGTATCTTAGAATATTTTTGCTACTGGAGCTGCTGATGTCATATTTGATAGCCTTAAATCCACAATAAATCCCAGATACTTGATAAAGCTGCTTTGGGGTGCAATATGAAAGACAAAGGCATTTGGTCTTTCATGGCATGCCAGCCATGCAGTTGGTAATCTTCCAGTCCAATTTCCTGTTAGATTTCCAATCACATCTCTCACAAAGGAAGAAAAATATAAACCAGTGCAAGGTCTCAATTTTTTCATCTGAATCTATTTTGTACACTTTTTGTGTGAACAAAATTCAATAACAAAACTTCATCAGCAGCATCTGTATTCCATGTTTGTTTCACACACAACAGAGCATTTCTCTACAAAGATTTCTGTAGTTTGTCAACAAAATCACACAGAACTAGATAACAACAACAACAACACCACTTCTCATGAGAAGTTAGCTTGATCATGCATATTTCAGATGTCATCCCACTTTCAGCTGGCTTGTTCACCTCAAATTTGAAGGGAGAACTAGGAAATCCAGATGCTGGAAGAAAGACTACTGGTGATGTCACTTTCTCCTGAGTTTTTAATGAACAGCTAACCTAATACAGTAGTAGGTGAAAATGTCACAGTAAATTGCTATTCATCAAACGCGATTAAAACAAAGCACTGACATTGCTGACCCTTCTTTTAGAAATAATAGAAAAAAGCATAGAATACTTCCAGGCTGAGTACCATCTGGTAGGTACATATACAGGTTAGTTGAAGTAAGGCATATTTAAAAAAGCAGGGACCGAGATCTACAGAAACTTCTAGCCATGTCTTCTACAACACATTATGTTATCAACAGAAAGATGAAATCTTTACTAGAAGACCTGGTAGCAACCCCTCGAGACTTTTTTTATGAATAATTGTGTGCTGTCTCTAATGTTGACCAAAATCAGAGAGGACTAGCATTTTAAATTCCCATCCAAAAGATTCAAGTCAGAGGAATACCAAATAATACACTTAATGACAGTTCAAGCCAATAACCACATCTTTACAATTGGGTACTGCAGCTGGCTTTATCCTCTTAGAAGGATGATATGAGACCTTTATCAAATTTCTAGGACATGCATAAGGGATGAATCCAACAAACATTTGCATGCAAAGGCAGTGATTTAAAAAGGCACAATTGTGAGAAAGATGTCAAGAGTCTAGCTTGTCCTATTTTGCATGGACTTTCAGCACTATTCACTAATGTTGGCAGAAGAGGTTTGCTTCCAATCTACAGCTACACACCTCTGTTGCCAAAAATTCAAAGTCTGTCTCTTAAGCTGGTTCTACAGAGTTCGACCATTTCTCACATGATCCTCCTCTCCCAGAGACTATTGGATGACCGATATTTTATTTTGGATTAGACATATAAAAGCATAAAAAACTCACTGAGGAAGCCACACCTATTGTATACATTTTCTTCTGCTTTTAAAAATGTTTTATTACCTACGTACTGCATAGAGTTTCAACAGTCTGTACCTAACGAGAAGGGCATGTTTTCTACTTCATTTGAAGTTAACTATTGACTATGCAGTCAATACTTCACCAGTGCATGTGTTTCAAATAAGATCAAGTAAAATCCAAGAAATCTAACTCTTGTCAGCCCCCACTTTTGCTTGTGCTGGAACAGCAGACTGTGACCTAGTGGAAGCTGGCAGATTCCTACAGCTTGTCTGAAGCTGGGATTCTGCCCGAGATGTTTTGAAGTCTGTTCTAGCTAGTTATCTACCTAAGGGTGATGTCAAAAACCTGCTCAGTTTGGCAGTAACTTGGCCAAATGTATGTTTGGTTCAGTGAACGTTTGTAACATGTTCCCCCTCCCCCTAAGTCTTTCTTCCTGCCTGCCCTCCCCTAAGCAAATGGAAGAGCGCCAAAGAATCCAGTTAAAGAGCAAGCTGATGTAGGGAAGAGCCTTTCCCCTGTGTCAAATAATCTCTCTCCTGATGATTGTCAGCTGAGTTTTCATTTACTAAATCCTGTCACACTGGAATCTTCCGTATCAAATGTCTCAGCTAGCTCTGGCTGCTCTGCCCCCCGCCACCACCACTGCAGGACCTGAGCGCTACCCCGTCCGTCCACACCTCTGCTTCTGGACGGGCTCCTTGTCAAGGCAGGAGCCACTGCTCAGGCAATTTGAGAGAAGCAAATTGCTGCTCCAACACAAGTCTGTGTAAGACTTCCATGGACGTAGACATGGAAGTGGGACAAAATGGGGTAAAAATAGCACGCACAGATTTATTGTGGCTCAGGAAGGTTGCCCAAACGTAGCATATGAAGAGATGGCCTTGAAAGGGCAGAGGGAATCTGACCTTGCAGCTTCAAAATGGTGACTGATGAGTGTTCATTGTTTTGGGGCTTTTTTTCGGTTTGGGCTTTTTCTGTTTTGCTTTGTTTTGCAATGCTTTTACCCTGATTCAGTATCTCTAATTTTGGGTCAGCATCTGTTGTAGATCCTGTGTCAGATGC